GTGAGGGAAACCGAAGAACTTGAGACCTGAAAGGTTTCCACTGTGGCCTTTGTATCACTTGCTCTGGCAGCTGTTCCACCCACCCCTGCACAGGACAGAATCCTGAACTATTCCTCTTCATCTGCCAAACAATGGCTGATAATCCACATGAAACATCCCTCTCTTCCTGTTTCCGGAACTAGCTGAACTTTGACCGATATCCCTCCTCCTGCTAAAGCCCCATAAAACAGTACGCCCCTTCTCCAATGCAGATGCTTCTTTACCCTTCCTCCTCATGCCAGGCATTTTCAAATAAAGTCTTATCTGAATGGTGCTCTAGTTGATTTTCTTCTCCAAGTAGGAAATACTCTAGGAATTCAGTGAGGTGGGAGAGAGTATTTCTACATTTTTAGGTCAGTGGAGATTAATGGAGTGGGGAAATATTTACACTGAGCTTAAAAGGGTGAATTGTTTACAGATTAAAGAATAAATTTTATATACTTATAACTTACTATCAGATGTCAGTTTTTACCCAGATGTTCCTGCATACATCAAGGCTAAAAGTATTGTAAGACAAAATTAGAAGTTGGAAAACTCCCTGTGAAGGTGAATATATGAGTGTATGTACCAACCAAAGTGTAAATAAAGCCATCAAGTGTGGAAATTCTCATTCCAGAGGGGACTTTAGTTTTTTCCAAAGCTTTTCAAATATTAATCTAGGTTCCTAAAACCTGGCTACATTCTAATGCATGTAATTACAAAAATTTCACTTCAGAAAGCACCATTAAACTAAAAAATATTTTCTTCGCATAGCAAAAGAAGCAAATATTTCAGAGAAATATTTCAAGAACCCTTTGATTTATAATGTGACAAAGACATTATCGTAAATAACAAATATAAAGGTTCGCATTAATGTGTAAAGGTAGAAACAATATTCTCATCAAAGTATTTATCATGAGTCTTGCGCTGCTCTAAGTGATTGGGTTGAACACGTGTTTGTTGTCACGAATTTCCTTCGACCCCTAAATGTATCCTTTTGCTCTCTTCAGAGTGAATATGCGTTTTAGTCCTAAGAGCCCAGTTCTTGTCAGATATGGGAGAGTTAAAGTGACATCTATTTCTCTCTCTTGCAAGTCTGGGATTTGAGTGCAGTCCCCAAGCATTGAATCTACCTGGTCTACCCTTTGGGTAATCTTAGATGAGGGACAAAAATCTCACTTAGATTAAGAGGCCAGTTGTGTGCGGTAAATGTTTGGAAAAAGCGGGGGAACTGATTTGTACTGTTTGCCAATTTCTGTGTTTTAAATACTACCACCACGGCCATTTCGAGAGACCAATGTGATGTTACTGAAGGGAGAGTTGGAAAAAGATGTGTAGGAGGACCCCATTATAAGTATTTTTATCATACAGACATGATAGATGTGAATAACCTCAAGAGCATGGATAAAAATAAAATGTGGGAAATGAATTAGGGAGTAAAGAGTTTTAGATACACATTTTCTTGGTTTAATACAATTTATTTAATTGAAGTTTTACATAATATAACTTTTAATAATGGCTATGTTAACAACTGGCTTGCAAAATTCCTGAAATGAGCTAAAGATAGGCTCCAGCACAGCACATGTTTGTGTATTAACTCCTTTGTTTTCAGAATATGGTTGCACAGATTGGCACCCCATCAACACCATCTTGGAACTTACTAGAAATGCAGAGTCTTAAGTCCCAGCCCAGATCTGCCAAGTCAGAGTCTTCGTTTTAACAAGATCTTTGGGTAATTTCTATTCAAATGAAAAGTTTGAGAAGTACTAGAAATTTTACCCTAAGTCTGGGTCAGCCTCAAGGTTGGGAAGGTTCTTGACTAATAGAAGAGTTTATTGCTGACACAAGTTTTAAAATTTGGGGGAATATATTTTTATGTTTTTATATGTGACTGGAAAACCTCATTAGATTATAAATCTTGAAAGCTAAGGAAGAAAGCGGTATTGGGATAAAGGTGAAAATAGTGGTGTAGATGTATAATCCACATGACTTTAGATATAATTAAAAAGAAACACTGACTTAACAGAGGCTCAGGAAATGCCTAATGACGTAACAAAGAATGTGTCATGGCATTACTTTTTTTCACGATGGAGAAATCTAATTATAAGTTGGACATCAACAATAAAATTATTCTTCCTACAAATAGGTGTTTAAAATTCTTCTCCATTCATGCATAGCAAACAGATCTGCACATGGAAAATAGAAACACTTGAAATGATAGAAGTGCACAAAGATGGGCCAAAAGTACTGCTGAATGTAGCATTCTAGAGGTAAGGTAAAGTAGAAATCCTGAATTTTGCAGAGAATTTTGGAAAAAGCTGCCCTTCTTAATAACTTCAATAATCAGATGGCTAAAATGACAGGTGGATGTCAGTCAACTTTTCCCCAACCCCCTCAGTGCTTGTTCAATGGCCCATGAACAAAGTAACCAGAATGGCAGGGATGGACAGTTTCCATGAGCTCAACAACTTGGGCTTCCCCTTAAAAAAGGATAAGCTGGCCACTAAATGCTGAGTGTCATTCTCCCAACAACAGAGAACAACTCTGAGTCCCTAATGTGGTGGCAATGCTTGAGGGGACCAGCCAGCGACACTGGGCTGATTGATTACATTGAACTATTTCCATCATCTTCACTGAAAACATATTTTTTGGATATGAATTTGCCTTCCCTGACTTTGATGCTTCTGCCACCACCCATGCACCGGCAAAATGCCTTATGAGCAGTCATGATACCCTGGACTGCATTGCTTCTGATCAAGGAACTAATCTTGCAGCAAAGGATGTGCAACACTTGGCTCATGCAAAAGGAATGAACTGGTCTGATGGCATACTTTATCACCTAGAAGTAGCTGGTCTGCTTGAAAGATGGAATGGCTACTGAGGTCTCAGTTACAGTGTTACTTGGAAGACTACACCTTGCAAGAAGGAGCTTTCCTCTTTCAGGATACAGCATATGTTTTGAATCAGAGCATTATGTTATGCTTTCTCCCCCATAGTCAGAAAACATGGGTGTGATAATTAAGAAGTGAAGTGGCTACATATATGATACATACAACACACCATGCCATATATGTATTACACTGAACAGTATATGAACATGCATATTGCATTGAGCAATATATGAATTACATATTATCTTAGTCTGTTCAAGCTAAGATAAAAATACCATAGACTTGTGTAGCTTAAACAACAAACATTTATTTCTGGAGGCCGGGAAATCCAAGATCAATGCACCGGCAGATTTGGTGTCTGGCGAGAGCTCACTTCCTGGTTCATAGACGGCTGTCTTCTTGTTATGTCCTCACATGGAAGACAAGAGAGCTCTCTGGGGTGTCTTTTATATAAGGTGCTAATCCCATTCGTGAGGGCTCTACTCTCATGACCTAATTACCTCCCAAAGCCTCCACCTCTTAATACCATCACATTAAAGATTAAGTTTCAACATATGAATTTTGGGGGGGACACAAATATTCAGTCTATAGCATATATATTGAAGATGTGTAATCTTATATGTTTTATAATTATATATATACGTGTATATATACACACACACACACATATATGACAATATTCCCCTAGGTGGCACAAAGATGGTTCAATTGAATTGGAAGATGAAATTACCACCATGATGGGCTCCTCATGTCACTGAAGCAACAGGCAAAAATGGGGAGGGGTACTCTAATAGCCAGAGTGACTGATTCCAATTACCAAGAGCAAATTAGGTTATTGCTAATACAGTAGAGTCAAGGAGAATGATATCTAGAAATCAAGTGATTTTCTGGAGTTCCCCTTATTTCCTTCCCATTAATAAAGTGAATGGAAAGGAACAGCAAACAAAACAGGAAAGGATGGCTGAGGACTCAGACCCTTCAGGAATTAGAGTTTTGATTACTCTTTCAGGTAATGAACCTGGAGCAGCCTAGGACTAATGAAAGGCAAAAGAAAGATGGAAGGTGTAATGAAACTAAGGATATCACAGATGTCAGCTGCTGCATTGGGACCAATTACAGAAGGAAAGATTGCCCATCCTCCTGTGCTCTGGAGGATCACAGGACCTTCCACCAAAGCATGGGTCCACCAAGGTGGCCTTTGGACATATACAAGGTTGTCAGGGCCCTGGCATAGAGAAGTTTCCTTACAGAATGGGGCTCAAGAAACTGGCACCAAAATGTTGATATCTGACTACTACTATTGCTATGGTAATAAACTTTCCTTTTCTGAAAAAGTAAAAATAAAAAGAAAGACTCTAAGAGCCTTGCATATTTTCTCCTTGTTTGTTAAGTGTATATATTTATACATATGATCTATTTTTTCTTTCTCTGCCTCCTTCTTCATGTTATCATTTTAAAGAAGTTTGTGGAAAGTTAACTTTACAATTTAGTCTTCAGGTAGTAGAATATTCAATGGGGCTAGAACTGAATTTGTGAAACGATTAACACAGCTAGTGAAGGATACAATGGGTGTTGAGACAGTATGTTTCCATTTTGGGGAGAGGATGAGAGCTTCTTTACTAGTATGAAGGAAATTTCCATCCTGTTAGGTAGAAACAGAGTTGTGTTGTATGGAGGCTGAAATGTGTGTAGAAATATGTGTGTGGTTACTGAGTGACTAAAAGTGTGGACTGTGCCAGTTATTGACTTATTGTTTCTCAGCCCCAAACTCACCCTTGTTTGCCCTGCTTTGTGATGATGGAATTAGACGCTGCAGACTACATTTACCCTGTGCCAGCTGGCTTGGTATTAGGTTCTCCTGAGAAGACACCGGAGGAACGGTAGGACAGGAAGGGTAGGAAGAGATGTTTTTGTGCTCTGTTTTCCATGGGACATTGAGAAGATTGGTGTGAAATGGACACAGGAGCATATACCACAGCTGAATGTGCTTTGTCTTTTATGGAGGACACCTCCTAGCGTGTTTCTTCATCATCATGAACTGTTTTGCAGTTCATGGGTAGCATCTTCCAGTAAGTGTCATGATCCCCACAATGACAAGATACTTTTGTGGTTTCACAGTTTTGCAAAGAGTGCTTCCGTCAAGTTTCTGCATCATCACAGTGACAGGCAGCAGGCAGCAACGACACCATCTACACTGAGATCTCAGCCTTGCAGCCCCCTTTAAGTTTCTGAGTTTCTTCCTTATTCACTTTCCTCTCAACCCTAAGGAGTAACCATCCTGCAGCTGCTACCCCTGCACACTTTAGTAACCACATTTTAACTAGTTAGAAATGCTATCTTCCCTGTTCAAATTCCTGATAAGATTCCTCTCTCCTGAATGGACCGTGACTGGTATTTATATAACTTTATTATTAAAAAATTTTTTCTTTGGTTAAGAATTTTGTGCAATAGCCTAAGTAGTTTATTACAGTATTTATTAAGTTAAAGTTTTGGGACTAAATGGAGTTCTCATGCTACCCTATGGATTGAAACACTTTCAACTAATCCTTTTGCTGAGTTATTTGGCATGGTCCATAAGGCTTGATGCTTTCTGGGGAAACATCAGGGGGTGGTCTTTAATTGCTTTTGATATTTTTTCATGAAGTGTTGAAGCTTAATACTATTGGAGGAGGTCATGGAGAGGACACGACCTGAGAGCTGGTTGACCTGAGAGCTGGATTCCGACAGTCAAAGGCTTCTGACACCCTCCTCCCCTGGCCCTGGTTCTTAGGAAGTACATTCAGCCCACTGTTCCCACAGGAGGACCCAGTTCAGTGATGCAGCGTAGACAGAATAATGTGTTGTTGAGACCATCTGGACTGTGTACGTGACTCAGTTCTGTTAAGGCCTCTGTAGAAATTTTAAGATTCTGGTATCTGGTAGTTGTGGAGATCTACCCATTTCGCAGCTGCCCAAGACAAGCCTTGATATATTTGATGTAAGTCCCCTTGCTTACTAAAACTGCCACCTACCAACCTGGAGTGGTCTGCCTCTTTCTTTGGTCTCCTATTGCTCTCTGAGTATGGTAGCTGGTTTTGAATTTGGCCGAGGGAACTCGCAAGGTGGTGAACCAACAAATACATCAGAAAATAAATTAAATTAAAGTTGGTGCATTTGGATGATATCTACCTGTTCACTTCTCTCTGGGGATTCACCTCTCTCACTGACCCACAAGGTCAAAGTTTATCACTGAGAAGCCCAGTGTGATGCTATATTACTCTGCTCCCTCGGCCATGATCGACTGAACTAAGGTGAATACTTGATTCAATCTGAGCAGAGTCTATTCAGCAGAAATTTGAACTGTCAGTAAGAGATTCTAGCCTTTGTTGGTCTCTAGCTACAAAACCATGAGATCATTTAGTTTTTAGTAACAAATAATAATGAAATGTTTTCTGCCATATAACAGTGTTAAAGGGAGCCTAATTCCATGAAATCAATTTAAACATGATCAATTCACTTTTAAATGGGTTTCTTCAGGTAATTAAGTATGCAGAAGGTCACTGGGGTTTTACATATTTTCATAGTACCTTTTAGATAAAATACGGTAAGCTGAACCTTGCATTGAATACTTACTGTGTTGTTTACACAAAGACATTGAAAATTTCAGGGCAAATAAGTAGTCTCTTCACCTGCAACCACTGATTCTTTTTCTTTTTCTCTGTTGGAATGAGAGACGTGGAGAGTAAACTTGCTCTATAGTCAGACTTTTGCCTTTCAAGAACTTCCCAAATCTTGTACATTTAAGTTCCAGTGAAGTGAAAATGTCTTTTCTCTTCTTCGCTGGGTTTGATCCAACCTCCAGTGAAGGCCATGGAGCAGCCATTGTCCTCTGTACCCACCAACCACATGGGGAATACTCCTGAAATCTCCAGTGCACCATCTCAAAATTCAATTCCTTCTACTAATGTTTCCCATCCTTCATTAAGCAAATGTGCAGTGAATGCCTGCTCTGTGCCTGATACAATGTGTGGAACTGAGACTATGGTAGTGACAAGACGGAGGCTGTGCTGCCCTTACTGAACTCACAGGTTGATGGATAGAAGGATTAATTGAATAGTTAAACCCTAACCCTAAACAATACTGTAAATATTTATTGAATGTTTACTATGTAGCCATCACTGTTCTAGGTACCAGTGATAAAGCAGTGAAAGAAAAAATAGATAAAAATCCCTGTCTTTAAGAAGATTGACTTCTAGTTGATATAAAATTACAAATACTGATATATACTAGAAGAAAAATTATAGAGTTCAATGACAACATATATCAGGGGGATATAAGCTAGCAAGAAGTTCAAGATCTCCTGAATTGTGATGTCTAAGCTGAGCCCTGAAAGGTAAGAAGGTATTAACTAGGCAAAGAGGATGAGCAGAAGAAAATATTTCAGGTAAATGAAACACATTTTAAGGACCTGGGATAGTTAATTGTGGGGAAAAAAGCCCTAAAATATGAAAATTCAAAAGTGATTAAAAGTCCAAGCAATTAATTCTAAACTCCTGACCAATTAATATTAATTAAGTGACCATGGGGCTAATTTCTCTTGGGATTTTTAACAACAATTTATTCTAAAAACAATTGCAGTATTCAAAAATGAATATTCGTTAGGAAATTCTAACTGAAGATAGGAAAATGGAGAAGATTCTATATCTCCATTTAGGATAAACTCAGTGTTAGCAAATAACATGTACACAGTCATAATTATATAATATTAAAAAAATCAAACTATAACTTAACATTTCTACATTTTAAATTTGAATATAAAGGGAAGGGAACAAGTTCATTATTAGTAGGTATACGCATTAAAAATAATTTTTATTATTTTTTGATACTACTGAAATATATGTTCATTGTGTAGAATTTTAAAAGTAGACAAAATTATAAAAAAAGGAAATGAAAATTAGCCATTATCCACCAACCAAAGTTTATATCAATCTTTGTTATGTTTGATTTAAAAGTCAAATTAATCACATATTTTCATGTAAAAACATGCTAAAATTAGATTGTTGAGATAGAGACATAAATTAAGCTAATAAACTTCATGGTTTTGAAGTTTGTGTAGTTAGGATATTTATATATTTTTACATAATATAATAACAGCATTGTTAGTTTTCTTGTTTCTATCATAATTGAGTTTAAATGATAATGAATTTTAGAAAATCAGAAAATTATAACATAAGCCTGTAACTTTATTTTGTTGAAAACATATAAACATTCATAGAAGTTTTCATGGTGTAAATGGTTATGAAGTAAAATAAATTTCTAGTATTCTGACTGTTCTTGAGAGTAATATAAAGTATAATATTAGCCTAATACAAAATATAGGTAATGCATTACAGATATGGAGCATAATAGATTTGTCTGAGGAATGAAAACGTTAATAATTATTAGATTAAAAAATATGTTGATGATCCCGTCTGTGTTTATTATATTCTAAATTCTTAATTTTCCATATTATTTTCAATATAGTAAGTTTGTTCTTCTCTAATAAAATTTATTCATTTTATTCTCCCTAAATATACCCAATGGCCTAGGAGACCAAAAGGAATACGTAAAATATAGATACAATAATTTATAGAATGGCAACCAAAATAGTTCATCAAGAGGATGATGCATAAAATCACTTAGTAAGTTACTAAACTTTCATAATGCATTAATGCCTGGGCCACAGGTGGATTTGTTACTTGGGTCTGGCCAATCGTCCCAACCAAAGCCATGCTAGACCATTCTGGAGCCACTTGACCCCAAATATTTGAGCACCCAGACAAGATCCCAGAGTTTCTTGCAGGCTCTGAAGCTGACTGTGGATGCATGATTGAGTCAGCCATGACCAGAAAGCAACTAGGTGACCTGAAGACATATAAGAAAAAATAAATTCTTAGTGTTTTAAGTCACTGAGTTTGGGAATGTTTTCTTACACAGCAAGGGCTATTTTAGACTCAGGTAAATAAATTAGAAAAGACACAACTTTAAGGTTTTGGGGGAAAGATTGATCATTTAATATGTGATTATTGGTTAGTGATGTTGAAAATATACAGGCAAGCCAGTCAGTCAAGTTAGAAGCACATCTCACATCTTATATTAAATTTGAGATGACTCAAAGATGTTGGAAATATAGGGCGCATTCTTTGTAAGCATAATCTTACTGTAGTAAGATGAAAAAACAAGTAAATTCACAATAGTGTAATGGAAAAGATTATATTTGATTAAGTAATGAAATGAAAAAACTTTTACTCCGCACAATTCTCCTTAGGAAAAAACTTATCCTTGTTTTGGAGGATGCTCTGAAGCACTTTCTCTATTAAGCCAGAACACTGAGACTAGAAAACAAGCTTCTGAGGGTAGAAGAAATCCCATTGCATCTGTATACACAGTCTCACAGATTTTATAACAAGTGTTAACTGATCATCTCTGGATGATGGGATTAAGAGTTTATTTTTATTTACATTTCTCTCTATTTTTAAATTGTTTTACAAGGGGCCTGTTTTGCTTTTGGCTTCATCCTCTAGTTTTTTAATGTATATCATTTTCATTATTGTTCAATTCTAAGCATTTTGTATTGTATATTATTTTCTACTTAACTCACATATATTTAGAAGTTTGTTTTTTGTTTCTTTAATTTCTGTTTTTTTCGGGGGGGAAGGGACAACCTTACTGATTGTTTTGTTTTGTTTTTTAGAATATGCCACCTTTTAGGTATGGAAAGGGGAGAAACCTAATATACATGTTGTAATTGATTATGTTTTTTAAAATGGGAAGGTTGAAACAAAACTGATATAAATGATTTCTTACAGGTGACAGAAGAGCAGCCCAGGATGGAAGGACAAGATATATAGTCTCATAACAAATATAATACATATTTACTGGCTCCACGCACTTAAAGGACAAGAAACAAGACCAACCCAGTAGCAATGAGCAACTCTTGTCCCAGGCTGAATCTTATAAAAACATTTTCCACTAAAAGGAACCAGGCTTCCTTGGAGAAATGGCTGACTCCAGGTCTGGGTAGAGATTGTATCAAGTAAGTTTAGACCAGATTCCATTACCAGAAAGTATGTCAAGGACACAAAAGACAAAAAAGAAGGGAGTTACAGAGTCTGAAGAAGGAAAAATTTGAACATCAAAAACATTAATGACTGCAATGTATTCAAACAAGAAATATATGAAAGTCTATGAAAGAACAAATAAAACTAAATTGCTGTTCACCTTTGGAGGATCCCAGGGAAACAAATCAGTAATTTTTTTTTCTGACTTAAAACAGTAAAAATTTATTGTCTCACAGTTCTGGAGGCCAGAATTACAAGATCAAGGTGTTGGCAGGACCACTCTCCCTCTGAGATTTTGGGTAGAATCCTTCCTTGACTCTTCCTAACTTCTGGTGGTGGCTGTTGATCCTCGGCATTTCTTGGCTTGTGGCTGCATCACTCCAATATCTTCCTATGTTGTCACACAGCCTTGTTATCTCTGTGTCTGGGTCTTTTTTCCTCTTATAAGGACACAAGTCATATTGGATCAGGACCCATGCTACTTCAGCATTACCCCATCTTAATTATACCTGCAAAGACCTTATTTCCAAATAACTTCATATTCACAGGTGGTAGGAGTGAGGAATTCAATATATCTTTTGGGCTAACACAGATAACACATCTGTTGCATGCTCCTTTTCTCTCCTTTCTTGCCTTCTTCTGGATTAATTTCTTTTTTTTAAATTAAATTTTATTTTTTATACAATATGTTCTTATTAGTTATCTATTTTATACATATTAGTGTATATATCTCAATCCCAATCTCCCAATTCATCCCACCCCCCGCCCCCCATTTTTCCCCCTTGTTGTCCATACATTTGTTCTCTATATCTGTCTCTATTTCTGCCCTGCAAACCAGTTCATCTGTACCATTTTTCTAGATTCCACATATATGGGTTAATATACGATATTTGTTTTTCTCTTTCTGACTTACTTCACTCTGTATGACAGTCTCTAGGTCCATCCATGTCTCTACAAATGACCCAGTTTCATTCTTTTTTATGGTTGAGTAATATTCCGTTGTATATATGTACCACATCTTTATCCATTTGTCTGTTGATGGGTATTTAGGTTGCTTCCACGTCTTGGCTATTGTAAATAGTGCTGCAATGAACATTAGGGTGCATGTGTCTTTTTGAATTATGGTTTTCTCTGGGTATATGCCCAGTAGTGGGAATGCTGGGTCATATGATAATTCTATTTTTAGTTTTTTAAGGAAACTCTGTACTGTTCTCCATAGTGGCTGTATCAATTTACATTCCCACCAACAGTGCAAGAGGGTTCCCTTTTCTCTACACCCTCTCCATCATTTGTTGTTTGTAGATTTTCTGATGATGCCCATTCTAACTGATGTGAGGTGATACCTCATTGTAGTTTTGATTTGCATTTCTCTAATAATTAGTGATGATGAGTAGCTTTTCATGTGCCACTTGGCCATGTGTATGTTTTCTTTGGAGAAATGTGTATTTAGGTGTTCTGTGCATTTTTTGATTGGGTTGTTTGTTTTTTTAATATTGAGCTGCATGAGCTATTTATATATTTTGGAGATTAATCCTTTGTCAGTTGCTTCATTTGCAAATATTTTCTCCCATTCTGAGGGTTGTCTTTTCATTTGGTTTATAGTTTCCTTTGCTGTGAAAAAGCTTTTAAGTTTCATTAGGTCCCATTTGTTTATTTTTGTTTTTATTTCCATTACTCTAGGAGGTGGGTCAAAAAAATCTTGCTATGATTTATAGCAAAGAGTGTTCTTCCTGTGTTTTTCTCTAAGAGCTTTATAGTGTCTGGTTTTACATTTAGGTCTTTAATCCATTTTGAATTTATTTTTGTGTATGGTGTTAGGAAGTGTTATAATTTAATTCTTTTACATGTATCTGTCCAGTTTTGCAGCACCACTTATTGAAGTGATTGTCTTTTCTCCACTGTATATCCTTGACTCCTTTGTCATAGATAAGTTGACAATAGATGCGTGGGTTTATCTCTGGGCTTTCTATCCTGTTGCATGGACCTAAATTTCTTTCTTGATTACTGTAGCTTTGTAGTATAGTCTGATGTCAGGGAGCCTGATTCCTCCAGCTCCACTTTTCTTTCTCAAGATTGCTTTGGCTATTCAGGGGCTTTTGTGTCTCCATACAAATTTTAAGATTTTTTGTTCTAGTTTTGTAAAAAAAAATGCCATTGGTAGTTTGGTAAGGATTGCGTTGAATCTGTAGATTGCTTTGGGTAGTATAGTCATTTTCATAATGTTGATTCTTCCAATCCAAGAACATGGTATATCTCTCCAACTGTTTGTATCATTTTTAATTTCATTATCAGTGTCTTATACTTTTCTGAATACAAGTCTTATACCTCCTTAGGTAGGTTTATTCCTAGGTATTTTATTCTTTTGGTTGAAATGGTGAATGGGATTATTTCCTTAATTTCTCTTTCTGATCTTTTATTGTTAGTGTATAGGAATGTAAGAGATTTCTGTGCATTAATTTTGTATCCTGCAACTTTACCAAATTCATTGATTAGCTCTAGTAGTTTTCTGGTGGCATCTTTAGGATTTTCTGTGTATAGTATCATGTCATCTGCAAACAGTGACAGTTTTGCTTCTTCTTTTCCAATTTGTATTCCTTTTATTTCTTTTTCTTCTCTGATTGCTGTGGCTAGGACTTCTAAAACTATGTTGAATAACAATGGTGAGAGTGGACATCCTTGTCTTGTTTCTGATCTTAGAGGAAATGCTTTTAGCTTTTCACTGTTGAGAATGATGTTGTCATATATGGCCTTTATTATGTTGAGGTAGGTTCCCCCTATGCCCACTTTCTGGAGAATTTTGATCATAAATGGGTGTTGAATTTTGTCAAAAGCTTTTTCTGCATCTATTGAGCTGACCATATCGTTTTTATCCTTCAATTTCTTTTTTTTTTCAGTATGCGGGCCTCTCACTGTTGTGGCCTCTCCCGTTGCGGAGCACAGGCTCCAGACATGCAGGCCCAGTGGCCATGGCTCACGGGCCCAGCCGCTCCACGGCCTGTGGGATCCTCCCAGACCGGGGCATGAACCCGTGTCCCCTGCATCGGAAGGTGGACTCTCAACCACTGTGCCACCAGGGAAGCCCTCCTTCAATTTTTAAATATGGTGTATCACACTGATGGATTTGTGTATATTGAAGAATCCTTGCATCACTGGGATAAATCCCACTTCATCATGGTGTATGATCGTTTTAATGTGCTGTTGGATTCTCTTTGCTAGTGTTTTGTTGAGGATTTTTGCATCTATATTCATCAGTAATATTGGTCTGTAATTTTCATTTTTTATGGTATCTTTGTCTGGTTTTGGTATCAGGGTGATTGTAGCCTCGTAGAATGAGTTTGGGAGTGTTCCTTCCTCTGCAATTTTTTGGAGGAGTTTGGGAGAGATGGGTGTTAGCTCTTCTCTAAATGTTTGATAGAATTCACCTGTGAAGCCAACTCATCTTGGACTTTTATTTCTGGCAGATTTTAATCACAGTTTCAAGTTAATTACTTGTGATTGGTCTGTTTATATTCTCTGTCTTCCTGGTTCAGTCTTGGAAGGTTATACCTTTCTAAGAATTTGTCCATTTCTTCCAGGTTGTCCGTTTTATTGGCATAGAGTTGCTTGTAGTAGTCTCTTGTGATTCGTTGTATTTCTGTGGTGTCCATTGTAATTTCTCCTTTTTCATTTCTAATTTTATTGATTTGAGTCCTCTTCCTCTTTTTCTTGATGAGTCTGGCTAAAGGTTTATCAATTTTGTTTATCTTCTCAAAGAACCCGCTTTTAGTTTTCTTGATCTTTGCTATTGTTTTCTTTGTTTTTATTTCATTTCTTTCTGTTCTGATCTTTATGATTTCTTTCCTTCTACTAACTTTGGGTTTTGTTTGTTCTTCTTTCCCTAGTTCCTGTAGGTGTAAGATTAGATTGTTTATTTGAGATGTTTCTTGAGGTAGGATTGTATTGCTATAAACTTCCCTTTTAGAACTGCTTTTGCTACAGCCTGTAGGTTTTGGATCATCGTGTTTCCATTGTCATTTGTCTCTAGGTATTTTTAAATTTCCTCTTTGATTTCTTTAGTGAACTCTTGGTTATTTAGTAACATATTGTTTAGCCTCCATGTGTTATGTTTTTTTACGTTTTTTGTCCTATAATTGACTTCTAATCTCATAGCATTGTGGTCAGAAGAGATGATCGATATGACTTTAATTTTCTTAAATTTACCGAGGTTTGATTTATGATCCAAGATGTGATCTATCCTGGAGAATGTTCTGTGTGCACTTGAAAAGAAAGTGTAATCTGCTGTTTTCAATGGAATGTCCTATAAATATCAATTAAATCTATCTGGTCTATTGTGTCATTTAAAGCTTGTGTTTCCTTATTAATTTTCTGTCTGGATGATCTGTCCATTGGTGTAAGTGAGGTGTTAAAGTCCCTCACTATTATTGCGTTACTGTCGATTTCCCCTTTTATGGCTGTTAGCATTTGCCTTATATATTGAGGTGTTCCTATGCTGGGTGCATATATATTTATAATTGTTATATCTTCTTCTTGGATTGATACCTTGATCATTATGTAGTGTCCTTTGTCTCTTGTAACATTATTTTAAAGTCTATTTTATCTGCTATGACTATTGCTACTCCAGCTTTCTTTTTGATTTCCAGTTGCATGGAATATCTTTTTCCATCCCTTCACTTTCAGTCTGTATGTGTCCCTAGGTCTGAAGTGGGTCTCTTGTAGACAGCATATATATGGATCTTGTTTCTGTATCCATTCAGTGAGCCTGTGTCTTTGGTTGGAGCATTTAATCCATTCACAGTTAAGGTGATTATTGATATGTATGTTCCTATTACCATTTTCTTAATTGTTTTGGGTTTGTTTTTGTAGGTCCTTTTCTTCTCTTGTGTTTCCCACTTAGAGAAGTTCCTTTAACATTTTTTGTAGAGCTGGTTTGGTGGCGCTGAAATCTCTTAGCTTTTGCTTGTTTGTAAAGCTTTTGATTTCTCCATCGAATCTGAATGAAATATTTGCTGGGTACAATAATCTTGGTTTTAGGTTCTTTCCTTTCATCACTTTAAATATATTGTGACACTCCTACTGGCTTGTAGAGTTTCTGCTGAGAAATCAGCTGTTAACCTTATGGGAGTTCCCTTATACGTTATTTGTCATTATTCCCTTGTTGCTTTTAATAACTTTTCTTTGTCTTTAATTTTTGTCAATTTGATTACTATGTGTCTTGGCCTGTTTCTTCTTGGGTTTATCCTGCCTGGGACTCTCTGCACTTCCTGGGCTTGGGTGGCTATTTCCTTTCCCATGTTAGGGGCATTTTCGACTATAATCTCTTCAAATATTTTCTCCTGTCCTTTCTGTCTCTCTTCTCATTCTGGGACCCTATAATGAAAATGTTGGTGCATTTAATATTGTCTCAGAAGTCTCTTAGGCTGTCTTCATTTCTTTTCCTTGTTTTTTCTTTATTTTGTTCCATGGCAGTGAATTCCGCCATTCTGTCTTAAAGGTCACTTATCCATTCTTCTGCCTCAGTTTTTCTGCTATTGATTC